CCCATTTTGGGCCAATTACATTATTCCAGTCGAATAATGTAATTTAACAATTTAACACAAATTTCAAAATAGGGTCCAGAATAAACAATGCAGGCATTCCTGGCACTAAACTAACATTTCTTCTGTTCATTAGTTACATTTTCAGGCTTATGCAATATTGTTATGCAATATTGTAATAATTGTCTAAATAATATCACCACATTTGTGAACGTATATTACACCCACCAGCTGGCATGTATTAGACGTGTGAGGTCACTTGTTTACTCTTCAACAGACAAAAATTTAACATTTCCACTACCGAGCTCAATTTCAAGTCATTTTCAGTACTAAAACCAATCAAAATCATCTCTATTTCTGTAATATATCTTCCATTCTATGAAATGAGACCAAGAAATCACAAATATACAACTATAAAAAACATACAAAAAAAACTGCAAAGTCGTTGTTTTAATAAAAAATTACGGTCTCTGTTTTTCCCTCATTATGCACTATGCTGCAGGATTCTTTTTTTTTTTGGTGCACACATACCACATAGATGTATTCTATCATATCTAGGCCCAAATTTACAGATCATAGCTTATCAGAGAGAGCTGAGCTCATGGCGTAGATCTATGGTTTGGACCCTCAACTCAAAGCTGTAGAACTACAGCATGAATCCTGAAAGGGTTAAACCATACACACCCAATTTTGTTTTTTCCATCATACACTGCGTGGGTCAGGTTTTTTTATATGGTGCACTGACCAAACAGACCCACTCTAAAAAGAAAAAAAAAAAAAAAAAAAGGCACAATACCGTGACTGGAAAAATGGAAACAATGGGTTATTTGTGTATTAGACCCTTTCTCTCATATCAAGGCAAAAAATTTACTGCTCAGAGCTCATTTGAGAGAGTTGAGCTTAAGATATCAAAAGCCCCTAGCCTCAATAACATACTTCTACGTGATGGACAGTGAAAGGATTAAAGGCATCCTGCCCCTCCTAATATAGGAGCTTAGGAGCTTTAATAGAAAGTGTATCACATGCCAAGACAAAACCATTCCCATTACTATATTTGCTAATTGTAATATTGTTACATATTTTGTACTACCTCACTATTATAAATATAATTTATCACTTCAGTTACCTACTAACTTTTACATCAATAAGCAATAAGGTGTATTAAAATGTACTGCTCCTTAACCTATGTCAATACAGAGTAAGAGTTAGGATTTGTCTGAAATGCCTAGGCATGCTAGTAGCCTTCTTTGTAATTAATATTTTATAATATGTAAACCACACATTGTAAGGTTTGCAAGGAAAGAAGCATTTTCATTTTCATCATTTACCCCTTGTAAATGATAATACAACAATCTCTCTTTCTCTCAGATTCACTTGACCTAATCCAATTTATTTCTCTCCACTGAATACCTATCTCCTTCAGCTTTGTTTCACCTACAGGTAAGACATTCAGCATCATAACGTATTTGTTCTTTCTGTACCTAACATCTTGCATGTTTATGAGACAAAGGAACCAACAATCCTATTATAGTGCAAAAACAATTACAGGATTCCATTTCACACTCACTTGGCAACACAGTAGTGCCTCCCCAGGTGATTACTGACTACCAACCTACTACTTTTCATATACTCTCCCAAATTCATTCATTCAACCTTTGTAACTTGCCTTCATGGGGATTAAAAAAATAACCAATGGAAAAATTAAATTTTGGAAATACAGTAAACCCTCAACAAAACTGAGTTTAGTATTAGCCCTTTATCGCCCAGCCTCGAAAACTTTCTAGCTTAAGGATGCATGTAAGCAATTTTGCGCGTGCGCTCAACCAAAAATCGAAAAATTATGGAGTTATATATACCGAAAAATAGCTTAACTCTTTGGCAACACAATGGTACAAGAATCAATGTTCTAAGACGTTTCTACAAGAAATTATAGTCATTTATATCAGGTATGGTAACGGCGATGTAGGTACCGCGTCTGTTCTCAACCCATGTATTTTTTGGAATTTTTTCCTTGTTTTTTATTGCTTTTTCTTTGCATTATTCTTTCTAATATAATAATTGATTATTTGGCATCATATAAGAGTAAGTGGAGCTTATCAATAGACGTCTAGCCTATCAGGAGCACTTGGCTGTGCTCCCCCTCCAGATGGTGCCAAGTGAAATCACTTCATTATTACGTTTATATCAGCTTATATATCAACTATACGGCTTATTTATCTATCAGAATTGATCTAATATATAATAAACACTATAAATAACAAACATGTTATATACTCTAGACTGAATAAAATAGGCCATAATATGGCGAGAGTCCACCAGCAGTATTTCGATATAAGAGTTACTCCTGGTTTCCATGTTGTATTGTTTGGTCTGTGAGTGATAGAAAACGGTTTTTTGAAGAGGATAACTGCACTAGAACATCAATTTACTTAGAAAACCACTGAAACAAACGCAATTTTCGCGAAAAAAAATTTTTTTTGGAGACGGCGGGCCGGCCGGCGTTCCAGGCCTATATCTCGGAAGTAACTTTTTCACTTATTTCGCTAAATTACACCATTATTAATGATTGTATTGAAATGATTTTCACTGACAATATAAAACAAAGTGTGTTTGACTATTTGCGGCTTCTTTTTTTGGAATATATCAAATATTTTTTTATTTTGTGGGAGGTAAAAGGCAGATATTTTGGTGAATGCCAAAAAGTCTATCAAATGTATTTTTTTTTTCCATGATAATAAGATATATTAGATGAAACATGTTCCTCCAAAAGTCGTGTCAGATGTATTCTAACGGTTGGGATTGTCGGAAGTGCCACTCGAAGTGCCATTTTGTCATGCCTTGCTGCCATATATGAAAAGTCATTAAATATTTTTTTCTCTGTTGTTTGTTGGCCAATCATACTGAAACTTTCTCACATTCTTCTACATATGAACCTCTAAATGTACACCAAAAATAAAAAAAATTGGTTGAAAAATAAAGTAGGCCACAATTTGGTTGATGCGACCTTAAAACACGTGCAAGTTTGCGTGCGTCATCCTACATGTGCCGCGCATCTGGATTCCCATTCTTTAATTCTAACCAGTCACAAGCCTTCCCTGAGTCGCTTCAGCTAAGTGGTGATGGCGTTTGCCGGCTTCCCATTGGTTGAGAGAACAAAATATAAACAAGTGTGGCTGGGCATCGCCCAGAGTGGGTTTTTTTTCCATTCAGTGTCACTAATACACTCTTGGATTTTACCCTCTACAATGTCAGTAAGTACTGATTGTTGTGTTTAGTGCGTAGATGGATAGTTTAGACATATTTTGATATATACATCAAGTCCGTGTGAAGCATAATGTGAGTGTAACATGCAATTGAAAAAAGTGCAACAAAGTAAGCGCGAAAATTTTCATTGCTGCCCTTTTAGTGACATAGTTCACTTTCAGTAAAATAAATATTTATAAAAAAAATTCTATTGCATATATGAATTCTGTAGTGGTCTGGATCTATACAGAAGGTTTTTACTGTCCTTCCAGATCAATGAGAAATTGTTTTATGGGGAGCTCTCCAGCACCAGGTCAAAATATGTCTGCATTTTGGAGGACAGTGACTCAGAACCAGAGGTAGATGAATCAGAATTGCTGGATAGTGGTGATGAATACTTGCCACCAGATGCAGAGGTGTCAAGTGATGAGGAGGAAGAAAGGCCAACCAAAAAGCAGAAATTAGTGAAGAAAAAGAAAGGTATTACCCTGATGAGGAACATGATTATATTGCTCTTCAAGGTCAATCTCACTGGTCCCAGGTTGACCTCGAAAATGATCCTTTGCCGGCATATGAACATGAACTATCAATTAGCAATATAGAATAATTGCTCTTCCTCATGAATCTCAGGAATATGGGACTTGAAAGTTTTATCCCTTTGCAATGTGTCCATGTTGCTATTAGTTTCATTTTTATATTTTTCTAATACTTACAAAATGTTTTGATACAAATTCCATTATGTTTTCGATATTGTCTGTTTGTATAATAAATTTAAAAAATAGTTATTGGGTTTTTATTAACAATTGCAAGTTTGCAACATTTAAATTTATACTCCCCATGTCGGGCAAGAGCAAAAATTTTCGACTTTCAAAGATTAGCAATTGCTCGAAAACTAACCATTAGAATTCCATTTATATGGGCTCATTCAACTTATATTGAGATACTCTATCCACTCTAGGGAGTTCTGTTTAAATTTCTAATTTCATGGCCATTTGCCCGACAAAGGGTTAAAGGCAACAATCAACTGGTTAAATTGTACTTTCAACTTCTTTATTTTGAAAGTTTATGACAGTATATCTAAATTTTGAGTACAGTATTATATTAGGTAAAGAGAACGTTACTATTTTTAAAAATCACTGATATGACAAGACACCAGGACGACTGGTCAAGAGCTGGGCCATGGGGGCATTGACCCCCAGAACTCCAGGTAGAGCCCTATCTTAGACTGTTATAACGAGGATTTACTGTCAATTTCATTACTTGATTAATATACTAATAAAACTAATAAAATTTTCAATTAAATACAATATAGATAATTTTTAATTATTCAGCAATGAGAAAAAGTTATACAAAGTACTACTGCAATAATTACTTAAAGGATCATTACAGATTCAAGAAACATACCTGATGTAAGATTATTTGACTGGTGACAAGAAAAATCTGAAAAGGTTATATACTATTTAGAATTTTAACAATTGCTAAACAATAAATACCTTAAATTAATTAACATTCAGAGAGATTCCATATGGAAATTAATCACAGTCATCTTTCCTGATGGTATCATCATTTATGCAAAACCAAAGAAAAATCTAAAACAATACGAGATAAAAACCTAAACAAATCTAGTCAAAAATCAATGAGAGATACATTCATTAAAATTTTAGTCCTAAACTATTTTCCATGAGTTAAACATTTAAAATAGTAAAACAATAAAATTTATTACAGTATATTAATTTTAAAAAGACTTTATACCTACTAATTTTTTTTCATTGAGACGAACACATTTCCTCCTACCTGAAACAGGGAAAAAATTTAAATGATTTAGTGACAATAAGTATGCATATATAAGTATGTTTATTTTCATATAGTCGGACTTGAGTCCTGGAAATGGGAAGTACAATGCCTGCACTTTAAAGGAGGGGTTGGGATATTGGCAGTTTGGAGGGATATGTTGTGTATCTTTATACATATATGCTTCTAAACTGTTGTATCCTGAGCACCTCTGCAAAAGCAGTGATAATGTGAGTGTGTGGTGAAAGTGTTGAATGATGAAAGTATTTTCTTTTTGGGGATTTTCTTTCTTTTTTTTGGGTCACCCTGCCTCGGTGGGAGACGGCCGACTTGTTGAAAAAAAAAAAAAAAAGTATGCATAAATCTGCAGGAGGTGAGGAAAGGTAGGGGACATCCTAGGAAAGTTTGGGAGGAGTGGGTAAAGAGTTTTAGTTGCATGGGGCTTGGACATACAGTAGGCATGTGTTAGCATGTTAGATAGGACTGAATGGTTTCTGGGAATTGATGAGCTGTTGGTGCGAGCAGGGTAATATTCCACAAAGGGATTCAGGGAAAACCGGTTTGCCGGACTTGAGTCCTGGAGGTAGGAAGCACAATACCTGCACTTTAAAGGAGGAGTTTGGGATATTTGCTGTTTGGTGTGACATCTGAACTGTCATATCTGGGCGCCTCACTGTGAGGCAGTCAGCGTGTTGAGAAAAGAAAAAAAAAAAGTATATTTGATCACTAAGTTGTTTTGTCTTCAGGACCCTGTAAATCATCAATCATGATGCTGATCTGATACTACCATACACAAAACCTTCTGCTGTCTCTAACCTAGATCTATGTTAATAATGCCACATACTTACATAGATCTATGCTTTGAACTCCGCTCTCTTACGTTGTGAACAGTAAATTCTGACCTAGACATGAAAGTCTGTGCAGTGTATGCTTTTTTTTTTTTTTTTTTCAACAAGTCGGCCGTCTCCCACCGAGGCAGGGTGACCCAAAAAAGAAAGAAAATCCCCAAAAAGAAAATACTTTCATCATAAATTCAACACTTTCACCACACTCGCACATTATCACTGTTTTTGCAGAGTGCTCAGAATACAACAGTCTAGAAGCATACACATATAAAGATACACAACATATCCCTCCAAACTGCCAATATCCCAAACCCCTCCTTTAAAGTGCAGGCATTGTACTTCCCATTTCCAGGACTCAAGTCCGACTATATGAAAATAACCGGTTTCCCTGAATCCCTTCACTAAATATTACCCTGCTCACCACTCCAACAGATCGTCAGGTCCCAAGTACCATTCGTCTCCATTCACTCCTATCTAACACGCTCACGCACGCTTGCTGGAAGTCCAAGCCCCTTACCCACAAAACCTCCTTTACCCCCTCTCTCCAACCCTTTCGAGGACGACCCCAACCCCCGCCTTCCTTCCCCTATAGATTTATATGCTTTCCATGTCATTCTACTTTGATCCATTCTCTCTAAATGACCAAACCACCTCAACAACCCCTCTTCTGCCCTCTGACTAATACTTTTATTAACTCCACACCTTCTCCTAATTTCCACACTCCTCGAATTTTCTGCATAATATTTACACCACACATTGCCCTTAAACAGGACATCTCCACTGCCTCCAACCGTCTCCTTGCTGCTGCATTTACCACCCAAGCTTCACACCCATATAAGAGTGTTGGTACTACTATACTTTCATACATTCCCTTCTTTGCCTCCATAGATAACGTTTTTTGACTCCACATATACCTCAACGCACCACTCACCTTTTTTCCCTCATCAATTCTATGATTAACCTCATCCTTCATAAATCCATCCGCCGACACGTCAACTCCCAAGTATCTGAAAACATTCACTTCTTCCATACTCCTCCTCCCCAATTTGATATCCAATTTTCTTTATCTAAATCATTTGACACCCTCATCACCTTACTCTTTTCTATGTTCACTTTCAACTTTCTACCTTTACACACATTCCCAAACTCATCCACTAACCTTTGCAATTTTTCTTTAGAATCTCCCATAAGCACAGTATCATCAGCAAAAAGTAACTGTGTCAATTCCCATTTTGAATTTGATTCCCCATAATTTAATCCCACCCCTCTCCCAAACACCCTAGCATTTACTTCTTAACAACCCCATCTATAAATATATTAAACAATATTAATATATTAATATTAATATATATATATATGGGGAAGTGGAATAAGAATCTTTCCTCCGTAAGCCATGCGTGTTGTAAAAGTCAACTAAAATGCCGGGAACAATGGGCTAGTAACCCCTTTTCCTGTAAAGATTACTAAAAAGAATAAGAAGAAGAAAATTGTCAAAGTGGGAAGTCTGAATGTGGCGTGGATGTTGTGCAGATGACAAGAAAGAGATGATTGTGGATGTTATGAATGAGAAGAAACTGGATGTCCTGGCTTTAAGTGAAACAAAGCTGAAGGGGTTGGGAGAGTTTCAATGGAGAGGAATAAATGGGATTAGGTCAGGGGTTTCAAATAGAGTTAGAGCTAAAGAAGGAGTAGCAATAATGTTGAAGGATAAGCTATGGCAGGAAAGAGGGACTACAAATGTATAAATTCAAGGATTATGTGGAGTAAAATAAAGATTGGATGTGAAAAGTGGGTTATAGTAGCGTGTATGCACCTGGAGAAGAGAGAAGTGTAGAGGAGAGAGAGAGATTCTGGGAAATGTTGAGTGAATGCGTGGGGAGTTTTGAATCAAGTGTGAGAGTAATGGTGGTTGGGGATTTCAATGCTAAAGTGGGTAAAAATGTTATGGAGGGAGTAGTAGGTAGTTTTGGGGTGCCAGGGGTAAATGTAAATAGGGAGCCTTTAATTGAGCTATGTGTAGAAAGAAATTTGGTAATAAGTAATACATATTTTATGAAAAAGAGGATAAATAAATATACAAGGTATGATGTAGCACGTAATGAAAGTAGTTTGTTAGATTATGTATTGGTGGATAAAAGGTTGATGGGTAGGCTCCAGGATGTACATGTTTATAGAGGGGCAACTGATATATCGGATCATTATTTAGTTGTAGCTACAGTTAGAGTAAGAGGTAGATGGGAAAAGAGGAAGGTGGCAACAACAAGTAAGAGGGAGGTGAAAGTGTATAAACTAAGGGAGGAGGAAGTTCGGGCGAGATATAAGCGAATATTGGCAGAAAGGTGGGCTAGTGCAAAGATGAGTAGTGGGGGGGTTGAAGAGGTTGGAATAGTTTTAAAAATGCAGTATTAGAATGTGGGGCAGAAGTTTGTGGTTATAGGAGGGTGGGGGGCAGGAGGAAAGAGGAGTGATTGGTGGAATGATGAAGTAAAGGGTGTGATAAAAGAGAAAAAGGTAGCTTACAGAGGTTTTTACAAAGCAGAAGTGTTATAAGAAGAGCAGAGTATATGGAGAGTAAAAGAAAGGTGAAGAGAGTGGTGAGAGAGTGCAAAAGGAGAGCAGATGAAAGAGTGGGAGAGGCACTATCAAGAAATTTTAATGAAAATAAGAAAAAATTTTGGAGTGAGTTAAACAAGTTAAGAAAGCCTAGGGAAAGTATGGATTTGTCAGTTAAAACAGAGTAGGGGAGTTAGTAGATGGGGAGAGGGAGGTATTAGGTAGATGGCGAGAATATTTTGAGGAACTTTTAAATGTTAAGGAAGAAAGGGAGGCGGTAATTTAATGCACTGGCCAGGGAGGTATACCATCTTTTAGGAGTGAAGAAGAGCAGAATGTAAGTGTGGTGGAGGTACGTGAGGCATTACGTAGAATGAAAGGGGGTAAAGCAGCTGGAACTGATGGGATCATGACAGAAATGTTAAAAGCAGGGGGGGATATAGTGTTGGAGTGGTTGGTACTTTTGTTTAATAAATGTATGAAAGAGGGGAAGGTACCTAGGGATTGGCAGAGAGCATGTATAGTCCCTTTATATAAAGGGAAAGGGGACAAAAGAGATTGTAAAAATTATAGAGGAATAAGTTTACTGAGTATACCAGGAAAAGTATACGGTAGGGTTATAATTGAAAGAATTAGAGTTAAGACAGAATGTAGAATTGCGGACGAGCAAGGAGGCTTCAGAGTGGGTAGGGGATGTGTAGATCAAGTGTTTACATTGAAACACACATGTGAACAGTATTTAGATAAAGGTAGGGAAGTTTTTATTGCATTTATGGATTTAGAAAAGGCATATGATAGAGTGGATAGAGGAGCAATATGGCAGATGTTGCAAGTATATGGAATAGGTGGTAAGTTACTAAATGCTGTAAAGAGCTTTTATGAGGATAGTGAGGCTCAGGTTAGGGTGTGTAGAAGAGAGGGAGAATACTTCCCGGTAAAAGTAGGTCTTAGACAGGGATGTGTAATGTCACCATGGTTGTTTAATATATTTATAGATGGGGTTGTAAAAGAAGTAAATGCTAGGGTGTTCGGGAGAGGGGTGGGATTAAATTATGGGGAATCAAATTCAAAATGGGAATTGACACAGTTACTTTTTTCTGATGATACTGTGCTTATGGAGATTCTAAAGAAAAATTACAAAGGTTAGTGGATGAGTTTGAGAATGTGTGTAAAGGTAGAAAGTTGAAAGTCAACATAGAAAAGAGTAAGGAGATGAGGGTATCAAATGATTTAGATAAAGAAAAATTGGATATCAAATTGGGGAGGAGGAGTATGGAAGAAGTGAATGTTTTCAGATACTTGGGAGTTGACGTGTCGGCGGATGGATTTATGAAGGATGAGGTTAATCATAGAATTGATGAGGGAAAAAAGGCGAGTGGTGCGTTGAGGTATATGTGGAGTCAAAAAACGTTATCTATGGAGGCAAAGAAGGGAATGTATGAAAGTATAGTAGTACCAACACTCTTATATGGATGTGAAGCTTGGGTGGTAAATGCAGCAGCGAGGAGACGGTGGAGGCAGTGGAGATGTCCTGTCTAAGGGCAATGTGTGGTGTAAATATTATGCAGAAAATTCGGAGTGTGGAAATTAGGAGAAGGTGTGGAG